AACTGTCTACCCTGGACTTCAGGAGAGCACACTTCATTTGCTTCAGGGATCTGCTCAGTGGAGTACCATGGGACAAAGCCTTGGAGGGAAGGGGAGCCCAAGAAAGCTGGTTAATATTCAAGGACCAGCTCCTCCAGGCTCAGGAGCAATGCATCCCAACAACAAGAAAGTAAGGCAAAAATGCCAGGAGGCTGCATGGATAAATAAGGAACTCCTGGATAAACTTAAACTCAAAAAAGAAGCCTACAGAGGGTGGAAGCAAGGACGGGTAGCCTGGGACAAATACAGAGAAATTGTCCGAGCAGCTAGGGATCAGGTTAGGAAAGCTAAAGCCCTGATAGAATTAAATCTGGACAGGGATGTAAAGTGCAACAAGAAATAGTCGGGGATAAGAGGAAGATTGTGGGCCCTCTCAAGAAGGAAACAGGTGACTTTGTTACCCAGGATATGGAGAAGGCTGAGGTACTCAATGAATTTTTTTCTTCAGTCTTCACTGAAAAGGGCTCAAGCCACACCGCCCAAATCACTGAAGGCAAAAGCAGGGACTGGCAGAATGAAGAACTGGCCACACAAGGTGCAAGACCACCTAAGGAATCTGAAGGTGCACAAGTCCATGGGACCAGATGAGATACATCCGTGGGTTCTGAGGGAACTGGCAGACAGGAAAGCTGGGGAGGGACTTTTTACAAGGGCATGTAGCAACAGGACGAAGGGTAATGTATTTAAACTGGAAGAGGTCAGATTTAGACGAGATATTATGAAGAAATTCTTTACTATGAGGGTGGTGAGACACTGGCACAATTTTCCCAGGGAAGTTGTGAATGCCCCATCCCTGGAAGTGTTCAAGGACAGGCTGGATGAGGCTTTGAGCAACCTGGGCTAGTGGGAGGTGTCCCTGTCAATAGCAGGGGGATTGGAACTAGATGATCTTTAAGGTCCCTTCCAACCCAAACCACTCTATGGTAGTTGCTAAGCCACTATCCATCATACTAGAGAAGTCATGGCAGTCTACAGAAGTACAAGCTGGGCAGAGAATGGATTGAAAGCAGCACTGAAGAGAAGGACTTGGGGATACTGGTAGATGAGAAGCTCAACATGAGCTGATGATGTGCACTTGCAGCCCAGAAACCAACCGTGTCCTGGGCTGCATCAAAAGAAGAGTGACCAGCAGGTTGAGGGAGGTGATTCTCCCCCTCTACTCCACTCTCCTGAGACTCCATCTGGAGTACTGCATCCAGCTCTGGGGTCCTCAGCACAAGGAGGACATGGACCTGTTGGAGCAGGTCCAGAGGAAGGCCACAAAGATGGTCAGAGGCTGGAGCACCTCCCATAAAAGGACAGACTGAGAGAGTTGGGACTGTTCAGCACGGAGAAGAGAAGGCTCCGGGGAGACTTAATAGCAGCCTTCCAGTCCCTGAAGGGAGCTACAGGAGAGATGGGGAGGCACTCTGCATCAGGGAGTGTGGTGAGAGGACAAGGGGTAACGGGTATAAACTGAAAGAGGGGAGACTGAGATGAAATGCGAGAGAGTGGTGAGGCAGTGACCCAGGTTGCCCAGAGAAGCTGTGGATGCCCCATCCCTGGAGGGGTTCAAGGCCAGGCTGGATGAGGCTTTGGGCAACCTGGGCTAGTGGGAGGTGTCCCTGCCCATGGCAGGGGGTTGGAACTTGATTATTTGTTTGGTGTCCCCTCCAACCCAAACCATTCTGTGATTCTATGATTCATCCCAACTCAAAACCACCCCAGACAGAGGGTGAGATCAGCACTGGAGATGGAGTGACTTCACACCTGCTTGAAACACTTCTTCACACCAGGGGATTGGAAAGTCACTTGGGTCCTCCCTTCCCCTTTTCTCCCCAGTGAAACAGCTCAAATCTCTCTATCTTCTCCTTGGTTTGTGGCCTGCTCCATCCCCTATCCTACTCAGTGGCCCCATGCTGGCCTGGACCCAGGTTGTCACTGCCAGGGACAGAAACTGGCCACAGAGATGCTGAGATGTGGGAGAGGTTGGTGGAGGAATTGCTTCTCATGACATGCCAGGGGTGATCTCCCCTGGCCACTGTTCCAGAAAGAGGGACAGTCTTCCTGGCCACGATGTTGGAATGCTGCAGCACATTGAGGGGTTTCCTGGGGGCACCTCATGGGGGGGAAGGAGGGTGAGAGACCCAAGAGCCATATGTGGCTGGGGAAGTTTGTAGCTGTTTAATGCAGTGGCTTTCCAGAGCAAACCCTTGTCAGTGCTGATGGGTCAGTAGATGGGAGATGAGATGAGATGAGATGAGATGAGATGAGATGAGATGAGATGAGATGAGAAGGGAGAGCTGGCAGTGAGGGAGCTTGTTGCTGGGCAGCCAGGCCTCAAATGATGAATTCCTGGCTCTTCCATGTGGGCTCATCACCTTTCCTGCGAGGGGGAACCACCATGAGCCATGCTCAGAGCCAGAGTTCACCTCTGTGGAGCTGCTGCAAGCCCTGGCGTGACCCATGTGTCCATAAGCCTGAGAGCAGGTGGTGAGAGGGAGACCTCACCTATGCTTCTACCACCAAAACTCCTCGGCAGAGGTTGTGGCCACCAAGGAGCAGCACTGTGATGATGATGCTGATGATTGGAGCTGCGCTGAGGTTTTCTGGGACAGGGAGAGACAAGAGTGGCCATGTGAGCGTGACAGTACCAGGCAGGAGCTGCCTCTCTCGGGGCCAGTGGCTGGTACCTACGCACTGTGCCCCAGCCTCATGAGTGGCACCTACCCCATGGGATGAGGAGGCTGTGGGTCCCCAGGCTGCAGTGGCTGGCACACGCAGCAGGCGTAGCTGTGCTCATCATGGGGACCACGGCCAGCATGCTGCGGAGCTGGTAGGTGAGGTCAGTGTCGGGCAGGATGGAGCTGGTGTTGAGCGCTGGGCCCAGAGGCACCTCCTGACCATCCCGCAGCCAGGCCATGCTGAAGGACCACAAGCAGAAGCTGGTGACACAGCAAACCAGCAGGTGCTGGGCTGGGCGTGCGGGTGGAGACTGTCGCCACAGGTGGCACTGCAGGGCAAGAGCAAAGGGATGGGGGGAGGCCCAGTGGGGCACTGCTTGGCCACAGTGTGAGGGGGGCTTTGGGGTGGCCCTGCCAGGGTTGGTGTGGTCTCACCTTGTCTCTCCAGAGCTGCCTTCCCATACCTGCACAGGGTGAGGATGTGGCTCTGGCAGGAGACGGAGAAGAGGTGCTCCAGAAGCCCTGTGATGGCCTTCTTGCAGGTGAGGAACTTGCTGACCAGCTCTGCTAGTGGGGGTGGCTGCCGGGGCTCCCACCACTCCCTCTCCACCTTGAAAACTATGAGGTCTCTGTTGCCCTCTCCAACATCCAAAAAGCCCCATCTTGTCCTGTTGGGGTGCAGCACACAGCTTGCACGCATCTGGACCATGCATGGGTCTGCCAGGAGTGTGTGGTTCCGTGAGTGTGTGGGACATGGGTGGCACAAGGCGAGATGTGGCTGGAGGCATGTGCAGGGTTGTGATGGGCAGAAGGGTGCAATGGGCAGTAGGAATGCCTCAGGAAGCTGCGGGACACACTACAAGCCCTCAGTCCCCTGGGAAGGCTGGAGTGGATAATGCAGGGCCAGCTTCCCAGTGTGCAGAGAGGGGTTCCTCCGTGCCAGATGGCAGGAGCCTTGAGGGGTGTTTTCAGCGCACTACCCTCCCTGCCCCTGCTAGCCATGTACCCCATAAGCCACAGTATTCCCCATTACCCTGTTGCACCCTATGAGACCCCACAAATGCCACCCCAGTTGGGAGGAAGGCACAGCTGGAACCCGAGGAAAGGGGCAGGGGCTCTGGCTGGGGTTGTGCAGTTGTGCCTGCCAGTCCATTCCATGCACATATCGGACCATATTGCACAGAAAGAGTTTGGAGTGGGACTTGATCTTCCCTGCATCACCCTTGGCTGTGGCCTGGCAGACCCAGGGCCAGTGGAAGTAGATGCTGCAGTTGGCTGGATTCAGTGCAAAGATGGGCACGTCTCCAAGGAGAGCCATCCTGGACACCTCAGCAGAGCTGATGTTGACAAAGGGACTGGTCTGGAGCAGCTGGAAAACCTGCAGCTCTGCTGGAAAAGATGGAGATGGGAAGGGCTGCAGGGAAGAGAAGATGAGTTGAGGGGCTGGAGGGAAAACAAGGGATTCCAACTAAATGTAAGGGAGACACATTTTACGTAGAAGGTGGTGAGACACTGGCACAGGTTGCCCAGAGAGCTGGTAGATGCCCCGTCCCTGGAAACATTCAAGGTCAGGTTGGATGGGGCTCTGAGCAACCTGGTCTAGTTAAAGGTGTCCCTGCTCACTGATGGGAGGCTGGACTAGATGACCTGTAAAGGTCCTTCCAAACCAAACTGTTCTATGATTCTATGCTCTTCACCCCACACCACGGGAACCCCCAGCACCCTGCACCCAGCCCTGCCTGGGCAACCCCCCCAGGCACGTCTTCATTGGACTCCCACCTCCTCACCTTCACAGGGTTGCTTTTCTGTCTGAAATTCTTCTGTCCCTGGTGTTTTTTTCCTTCTCTATTTTACTTTCAATGAGGTATTTCTTTCCCATACAGGATTTCAGGCACTTTGTCCCCTCCCCGCCTCCCTCCTGTCCAGCGCCTGCTGTCTGGCGGTGCCGAGTAGATGGGGGGGTGCACCTCAGTTCTTGTTTGTGGCGATGCTTCACCCAGAAGAAGCACCCCTGCCAGGACTTGGATCTGCCAGATACCTGCACATGGTGCAGAAGACAGAGAGGATGGAGGAGGAAAAGGGGCATTTCATTCAGGTTTGGGGGCTCCCAGGCATCGGAAGCTCAAGGAGACTGAAACCTGACAGGAGCAAGAGAGTAGCCCAGCCCGGATATCAATCCTGCATTCCAATGGCTGCTGCTAGCCCCCTGGAAACATGAGATCTCATGGGGTTGGGGTAAAATGCTCTGTGCAACGGCAGCACCTGAAACACCCTCTCAGAGGTGCAGCTCCCCAACAAAAAGGGGCTGCTGGAAGGGGCCCACAGCACCACGTGGAGCTGAGACCTCCCTGGTACCCACAGGGTCCCTGCGGGAGGAAGGCGCCTTTGGGGGAACCCTGACACCCCAGGCCTGCCTGGGGACTCCGGACGCATTTCTGCTTGAGTGCTTGAGCCCCTGTGCTGGAGCTGGTGGGGCATGAATCCCTGAGCTGGAGGCAAGAACAGAGATGGTGGGCAGGGACAGGTCATCTTTGGGTGCTGCGTGGTGGGGGTGGCCCTTTGATGCTGAGGATCATCCCCCCAGTGCAGGGGACAGTGGCCTGGACGTGGCTCCACTGAGGAGCCTGTGAGGTCCTCTGATGGGGGGGGTTAGAGTGGTTGGGGCGAGCAAGGGCTCTCACTCACCCTCTGGGTGTGCGCACATCGCAGGGAGGAAGAGGTGGAGAAAGAGGAATAGTGGGACACCCCCTCATGTCACATGCAGCAAAGCCAAAGCCAAAGCAGCAGCAGTGGCTGCAAAAGGAGGAACTGTCTGTGGGGTCCCATGCTTCAACCCAGCCCAGCAGGCACGGCAGTAGCTCTCCGCGAATGGGACCAGTGCGTGTGTGTAGGGGAGGGCCCCAGAGGTAGGAGCTGGGGATGTGTGGGAGGGAGGAAAGCCGAAATAAGGTCTTGAGCATGAAGTGCTACGACAGGCTGGGCCTGGGGAGACCTCAGCAGGGAGAGGGCAGGGAAAGGGAGGCCCAGGAAAGGGCACTAGGAGAACATGGGTGCTCAAGGACCCGAGCTGGGTCACCCTGAGTCCCCCTCCCAACCGATGGTACCTTGCCCCCATCCCTGTTCTTGTGGGATGCATCAGCTCCAATGAAGGTGACAATGGCTTTTCGGTTTCAGCCCTGACTGGAGAAAGATGTCCAATGTCCTCTCAGCCTGCACAGGGAGAAGAGCTGCTTTGGGACCTCCCCGGCACCTCCAGCTCAGACTCCTCCTGCACTGCCTGCCTAACCCTGGGGACAGGGTGACAAGCAGGTCCTGCCCAGCCCATGGCTGTGGGAAGAGTGTTGGGGAGCTCTAACTCTCCCTTAAACATCCCCAGGGGAGAACTGGAAGCTGGGCTGCAGCCTGGCACTCCCCTTTCCTTCCCACCATCTTTGGTGGGGAACCATGACACCACTCCTCAAGTACCCCCTGGGCACGGGAACAGGAACGGTGGGGGCATCTCCCTGCTCTGTCTCCACTGTCACCACTGTCCAGCACTGGAGGGACAACGTGGTGACCTGAGCCAGCCTCACCCCCACAACGTCCCCTGCCCACTGCTCCTCCCTGGCTGTCCCCTGGTGCCTCCTCTCACCCCGCAGCTTCTCTCCCCTTCCCAGGGGTTGCCCACATTAGGGGCAAAAGCTAAACTGAAACCACAGCCAAGGGGAAGTTTG